CCAAAGCAAAAATTTTTTTTTTTTTGTTCAAAATAACGTCCAAAACTGCTGGTGTGTGCCGCATTGTACCACTGATTACAGCCTATGTGTACATGGACAGCACAGTGGCTAAATGGTTAGCACTTCTGCCTGGCAGTACTAGGGTCGTTGGTTCAAATCCCAGCCACGGCACCTCCTGCCTGGAGTTTGTATGTTCTCCCTGTTCCTGCGTGGGTTTCCTCCGGGTACTCCGGTTTCCTCCCACGCTCCAAAGACATGCTGGTAGGTTAATTGGATCCTGTCTAAATTGGCCATTATATGAATGTGAGTTAGGGACCTTAGATTGTACACCCCTTGAGGGTCAGGGACTGATGTGAATGTACAATATATATGTAAAGAGCTGCGTAAATTAACGGCGCTATATAAGTGCCTGTAATTAATAGTAATAATGTGTGCATAGACACATGATAACATGCTGGGGAGCAGGGGCGGACTGACCATTTGGAAACTCAGGCTATGCCCAAGGGCCCGGGGTCAGTAGGGGGCCCCATGGGATGCCCCTGGTACCTTTTTCATAGGCTTTTTTGAGTTTGGGCAAGGACACAGGGGCCCCATGATCCCCTATTGCCCGGGGGCCCCATGAATTGTCAGTCCGCCCCTGCTGGGGAGTTTACTGGCTGTAGAAAAAAAATGCCAAAAACAGCAGCTGTAAAAACGTCCAATGTGCATGAGGACTAACTGGAACTGCTTCTGAACACAGCGGAGTTCAAACTGAAAAAAAAAAATAAAAGTCAGCAGCTACAAAAACTGTAGCTGCTGAGTTTTAAAATACAGTCACTTACCTGTCCCTCGGTCCAGCGGTGTCCTCACTGCCGCCGGTTTCACTGGCCGTCTTCTTTCCCTTGCACCGGCATCTTCAGTGTGGGCACCTGGCTGTGACGGCTTGCGGAGGTCCTATCCGGGTGCCCACTGTGCATGCGTGAGAAGCGCTGCGCTTTGTGAATGGCCCCGTAGTCTTCTGGGATACGTGACAGGTCCCAGAAGACTATGGGGGGGGGGGGAGGACAACTTCTGCTTCCGATCTCCTAGGTGACCGCAGCGGAATTGGGAGCAGGTACCTGTCAAATTTGGGTACCCGCTCCCCCCCCCACTCCCCAAAGGTGCCAATCCCGAATAGGGAGCGGCGGACAAAGGCTTAAAGCGGATCTTCCCCTTTTGGATGGAGCTTAATTAAAGAGACCCTGTCATCAAACTATTAATTTCAACAAAAATATTCCTATGAGATTATATATGCATTTAATATATTCATGTGTGCAATTCACCAAAATCCTCCCTTGTGCACACATCCAAAATCGCTTAACCCCTTTATGACTGCCCAACACTTATGTGCGGTGGCAAAAGGGTGGGATTTAACGCCCACGAGCTGCGCATACACGTCACTGACCGGCTGATGTTTATGTTCTAGCAAAGACAATAGGCCACTATGACACATGATCGCCACTGCGTGCCCCCCCCCCCGGGTCACACCAAACTGCTTGGAGGGAAGCTGGGATAGTCGGAAAGAGGTTAAACTGCAGCTGGGTGCCGCCATCTTGGATGTGATGTCAGCAGCCCAAGCAGACTCAGAGTTGCTTACATTCCTTCTCCGTACCTACAGTGAGGAACAGAAGTATTTGAACACCCTGCGATTTTGAAAGTTCTCCCACTTAGAAATCATGGAGGGGTCTGAAATTCACATTGTAGGTGCATTCCCACTCTGAGAGACAGAAACACCGGACACAGTGAAACACCGATCGTCGGACGGGACCTCTGTACGAGGTCCCGATCATGTGATCACTGATTGGCCAATCAGTGATCACATGCAAAGTAGTAAGCAAGACGTCACTTGTGACATCATTGCTTACTACGTGTGAAATCTGTGAATGATCATAGAAATCACATGGTACAAGGCTATTCACAACAGCCTTGTACCATGTGACAAGCTGTAACCAATCACAGCTCACTCAATAGTTCTCAATGGCTGCAAGAATGCAGACAGAGAGAAAGAGAAATGATTGCTTTTACATCCTATATGGGTGTAAAAGCAATCAGTGTAAAAAAAAAAAATCTTCATCACCCCCCAAAAGTAGTACAGTGTCACCATGATGACACTGTACTGCTAGGGTGACAGTATGTAAAAAAAACCACATAAATAAATAAATAATAATATAAAAAAAAAATAAAAATGTAAAAAAAAAATGTTTACAAATTATAATTTTTGGTTATAAACTAATTTGGCTTATTTTTTTTTTTTTACTAAAAAGATAACGGAATACATTTCGGCCAATATTTATGATGAAATATTATTTATTTGCAAACTTTTATAAGAAAAACACTTTTTTTCAAAATGTTTGGACATTTTCATTTACATAGCAAAAAAAAAAAAATCCCAGCGGTGAATAAATACCACCAAAATAAAGCTTTATCTGTCTCAAAAAATGGTAAAAAATTCATATGGGTACAGGGTTGCATGACCGCGCAATTGTCATTCAAAGTGTGATAGCGCTGAAGCTGAAAATTGCCCTGGACAGGAAGGGGGGGAAAGTGTCCGGACTGGAAGGGGGGGAAAGTGTCCGGACTGGAAGTGGTTAAGGACAGGCGGTATTCAAATCTAGTTTCCAACTAACAAGGAGGGGGTTATTTACTAAAGCTGATTCACTCAGAATCTTGCGCACTTCTGCATATAAACCAATCAGCTTCCAGGTTTTATTGCTAAAGCTTCATTGAACAAGCTGAGTTTAGAAGCTGATTGGCTACCATGCATAGGTGCACCAGATTCTGAGTGAACCAGCTTTAGTACATCTCCAGTGTTCACTATGGCAGACGCAGCTCCCCAGCCCTCATAAAAATTAAAACCCCAAAGGAGTCCTGGAGTTTCAAAAAAAAGATAAACTACTATTTTTAAATATGTGTTTTAGGGCTCATTCACACTTGGCTGTTTTACCAACGCATGCCAAACGCCCCTATAGTGTTTGGCGAGCGTTGGTCCGGCGTTTGCGGAGCGTTTTTTAACACTTGGCAAACGCTCCGCAAATGCCGCTTGCACGGTTTAGCGGCGGTTGCTAAGCGTTTGCTGAGTGTTAAAAACACCCCACAAACGCCTATAATGCAGTTTGAGTGGTGTAACCGCCCCGCAACCGTGTCGCAACTGCATCGCAAATGCCGGCCGGGCGTTTGCGGAGCGGCACCATAGACGAGAATAGGAGGCTTCAACGCCTACTGACTCGACCAGAGGCGTCCGTTTTGCCGCGACACTAACGCTCCCGTTAGAACAGCGCCATGTGCTGTAATGTGCAGAATTGGCAGAGGCGTTTGGGAAGCGGTAAAAACGCTTCCCAAACGCCTCTCTGCCACCTGCACACAGCGCTAGTGTGAACGTAGCCTTACAGTTGTACTATGCAAATGAGAACATGTAACAAATAAAAAGGGGATCCCTTTGTTATCCCAATTTGGCTGAAAAAAGTAGAAATATACTTTAAGTTTAAAGTGTAACTAAACCCACAACAGTACAATCAGTCTGTAGATGCAGTAAAGCATGATTGTACTCACTGTAGAACCTAAGGGGTTAATCCTCTGCATTGTGTAAAAAGGCTGTTTGATCCTGTCTTCTCTGATCCTTCCCTTCTTCCAGTGTCCCCCTCTCATCTCCTGATAAGACATATTGTGTGGAGTCACTCTGCACATGCTCAGCTTGGTGTGTATTGCTAGAGAGGTTTTTTTTTTTTTTTTTCCTTGGGAGAGTGCATGTGATCAGCACTGTCCAGACAGAGGTCAGGGATTCTGCATCCTTCTAGTGCAGAAAGAAAACTCCTCTTTCAAGCTTTACCAGTGCTCTGCTGATAGAAGTCACAAGGCTGTTCTAACTGCTGAAGGAGGAAAGGTATTTACTAGTTTATATTTACTAAAATAATTGCACTTCTATGTACTGTGGGAGACCAGATATAGTGAATGCAGGGTCCAGGATTTAGTAACACTTTAACTCAGTGTTTCTCAACTCCAGTCCTCATGGACCCCCAACAGGTCATGTTTTCAGGATTTCCATTATTTCCATTTCCAGGTGATTTGATCAGTTTCACTGCCTTAGTAATTACCACATCTGTTTCATCTGAGGGAAATCCTGAAAACATGACCTGTTGGGGGTCCATGAGGACTGGAGTTGAGAAACACTGCTTTAACTGAACATGCTGAGGTTAGAAGCTGATTGGCTACCATTGCACAGCTGCACCAAATTTTGAGTGAACCAGATTTAGTAACCCCCCCCCCCCCCCAGCGGTCACTGTGGCAAACACAGCTCACCAGCCCTCATAAACAAGAAAACCCCAGACAAGTCCTGTAGTTTCCAAGAAAAAAAAAAAAAAAGGTAAGTTACAATTTTTAAATATTTGTTTTAAAGCTGTACTATGCAAATGAGAACATGTAACAAATAAAAAGGGGATGTTATCCCAATTTGGCTGAAAAAGTGGAAATAAGTACCTAGATAACCAGGCTGCAGAGCAATCTAATGAAATCCCAATCTTCACACATGTGAGTTAGCATTAACTAGTTTTATATATCAGTACATGTTGTGCTCCCAACTACCAAGATATAATATATAATGAGTGACTACAATCAAAAACTAATCAGAATAAATATTGACAGATAATTAAATACAAATTGTGTGATCGTGATTTAACCATTTGAATACCGGGCAATTGTACACGTTCCTGCCCAGGCCAGTTTTCAGGTTTCAGCGCTCTCACATTTTGAATGACAATTGTGCGGTCATACAACATTGTACACAATCTAAAATTTTATCATTTTCTTCACACAACTAGAGCTTTCTTTTGGTGGTATTTAATCATCGCTGGGGTTTTTATTATTTGCTAAATTAACAAAAAAAAGACCAAAAATCTTGAAAAAAAACACATTTTTCTTTTGTTTCTGTTATAAAAGTTTGCAAATAAATAATTGTTCTTCATAAATTTAGGCCGAGATGTATTCTGCTACATGTCTTTGGTGAAAATAACCCAAATTAGGATGTATTTTTTTTAGTTTGTAGGAAAGTTATAGAGTTCACAAACTATGGGATAGATCTGAATATTGATCAATCCTGAAGTACTGACAGCCAATCTAATTTCTTGAGGTCCAAGAATGTCAGAACAGTACAGATATCCCCCAAATGTCAGGACAGTACAGATATCCCCCAAATGACCCCTTTTTGCAGAGTAGACAGTCTGACGTACTTCATAAGAGGAATGGCGAGTTTTTTGAAGTTGTATTTTTTTTTTCTCATAATTTTTTGGAAAATAAAAAAAATTAGTTTCACTATAATTTTTTTTTTTTTTTTTTTTTTAAATATTGTCACCAGTACAGTACAGCGTCATCGTATATAACTGGCATGGCGGTGATCAGGGATACTGACTGGTGACCGTATGGGAAAAAAAAAATTTTTTTTTTCTTTTTTTCATATTTCACTATGACCAAAGTAGTACAATGTTACCATAGTAACATTGTACTACTTTGGGGAAGTGATCAGTATTTATTTATTTTATTTTATTTTTTTACACAATTTGCTTATAGCAAAGAATTACTTTGCTATAAGCAAGCATTTACCTGAATGACATCGATTTATTCAGGGTTTTTGTTTTTCTTTTTGTGCTTAGCTGTGATTTGGCCACAGCTAATCACATGACATGTGCATGTGATTAGCTGTGACCATTCACAGCTAGACACTAGTATACAATGGATGGCATGAATGAAGCCATCCATTGTATACAACTGTCATGTGACCTGCTGTGATTGGTCACATGGTACCGGCAACGGGGGCCGGTACTCAGATCTGTCATCGGCCGTGTCCGAGGTACACGGCCGGTGACAGATCGCGCCACTGCGCGGCTCTGCAGTAGCGCGATCTGCGCATGTGCGGGAGGACGCCATATGGCGTCCACCCGGAACGCTGATGACATTTGCCGGCCGCCATTCGGCCATAGGGCGGGCAGCAAATGGTTAAAAAAGAAGAATCAAAATAATAGTCCTATTATTCAAATAATAGTCCAATAATAGTGATGAAGTGATCAAAAACATCAAATAGTGACTTTCCGTGAATCCTTCAATCACTTAAGATGTACGCTCACCTCCTTCTATGCCTAATAAATAGGCTGGATACACTTTTGGTTCACATATCCTGGAACCTGCCACAATTGCTGCAAAAAATCCTGTTCCTGGAACGGGGCTGAAGGGAGAAGAGGCCAGAAGAAAGGTTGCATTTGAGGTTTGGAGATTGGGAGGAGTATGCAAGGGATTTTTTGAGCAGCTGAAGGAGGGAGAAATCCCTGCAGGGATATCCAGCGCACAAAGGGGAAAGCATTGTGGTATCTATAGGAAGTACCCAACATCCATCCTACACTGCAACAATTGTGGCAGGTTCCAGGATATGTGAACCAAAAGTGTATCCAGCCTATTTATTAGGCATAGAAGGAGGTGAGCGCACATCTTAAGTGATTGAAGGATTCACGGAAAGTCACTATTTGATGTTTTTGATCACTATTATTGGACTATTATTTGCATAATGGGACTATTATTTTGATTCTTCTTTTTTTTTTTTTTTTTTTTTTTTTTTTTTTTTATCTCACGATCACACAATTTGTATTTACCGTATTTTCCGGCGTATAAGACGACTTTTTTTACTTAAAAACATACCCCAACGATTGGGGGTCGTCTTATACGCCAGGTATAAAACACTGGATGTGCGGTAATACTGTATGGTAGCTTCAGCTACATACAGTGTACCGGGCTGAGCCAATCACGGCGAGCGATGTATTCTATTAATGAATACAGAGCCTGCTCGGATTGGCTGAAGTTGTGACATCATCAGCCCGCCTCTCTGACGCAGCCAATCCGAGCAGGTTCTGTATTCATTAATAGAATACATCACTTGCCGTGATTGGCTCATATGACCTCCTCCGATTTCTCCGCGCATGCGCGGCGATTCGCTGTGTCCCTCGGACACAGCGGATCACCGATCACGGAAAGAGCCGAAGATGTCGGCTCGGTCATGTGATCAGCTGTGTCCAATCACAGCTGATTACATGTAAACAGGGAAATGCCGGTTATCAGCATTTCTCTCCTCTCGAGCTGTCACGCTGACAGAGGAGAGGAGAGCCGGTAATCGGCTTTCCGCGGAGGGAACATGTACACTGATCATCAGGGCACTGATGATCCGTGTGCCCAGATGATCAGTGTAGCCCCAGCAGTGCCACCTGCCAGTGTCCATCAATGCCAGCTGTCAGTGCCACATATCAGTGCCTACCAGTGCACATCAATGCCACATATCAGTGCCCTGAGCTGCCTTTCAGTGTCATCCATCAGTGCTGCCTATCATTGCCAGTCAGTGCCGCCTATCAGTGCCATGTATGAGAGCTGCCTTTCAGTGCCCATCAGTGATGCCTGTCAATGCCCATCAGTGCCACCTACCAGTGCCTCCTCATCAGTGCCACCTATTTCATGTGGGTACAGTGTTGCATGACCGCGCAATTGTCATTCAAAGTGTGAAAGAGCTGAAAGCAGAAAATTGGCCTGGGCAGGAAGGGGGTATAAGTGCCCTGTAGGCGAGGGGTTAAATGGTGTTGCCTCAGAAGGGGGTAGTCTTATACAATGAGTATAGCCCAAAACCTATGTTTTAACTGGAAAATTAGGGGGTCGTCTTATACACCCAGACGCCTTATACGCCGGAAAATACAGTAATTATCTGTCCAATATTTATTCTGATTAATTACTTTTTGATTATTCATCTGCAATTCTTACTCTTACCCTCTTATCTATATTTAAATCCCCTTGTAACAAGTTCCACAGAAAATGATCTTCAGTTCACAGCTTCCTCTTGCCATCCTCCCCTTCAAAGGAGATGTACCCTCCAGAAAAATGATATTACATACAGTAGTGCAGTACTATCCATTCCTCACTATCGTCTCCTCCTGTGCTCCACTCTTCATCAAATTGTGACCACCGGTGAAAAAGTGATAGAACCAATCCACCACCTCACAGACCATTCACCTTACTGGACTAAATCAGTCAGATCGCATTGGATCAAGACAGCTCTTCCTGACCAATTATTCCCGTTTTTCCAATGATAACGATACGTAGGTCAAAACAGATAATCATACATCATGCGTTACGGTTTAAAACCAACAGTTTATTCAAGTAAAAAGCGCTTACAAACAGTCAGGAATGAAGTCAGACGTAGACCGGAAGTTGTGTGGCGGCCATCTTTGATGAGGTCTAGAGAAAGTAAACGTTGATTTAGGATGAGGCACAAACGCTGGTGTGCACTGTTTGTTTGTAAGCGCTTTTTTACTTTAATAAATCTTTGGTTTTAAACTGTAATGCACAATATGTAGGTCAAAACAGATCAGCATACATTGTGCATTACAGTTTAAAACCAAAGATTTATTAAAGTAAAAAAGCGCTTACAAACAAACAGTGCACACCAGCATTTGTGCCTCATCCAAGATCAACATCAACGTTTACTCTCTCCAGACCTCATCAAAGATGGCCACCACACAACTTCAGGGCCACGTCTGACATCACTTCCTGACTTCATTCCTGACTGTAAGTGCTTTTTTTACTTTAACTACTTTCCGTCCGACCCATGTACATAAAAGGCTGGAAGGGAGCAGTGCAGGAGAGGGTGGCCGTTTATAACCATCCTCCCGCTTCCCTGCCTGTGCGGGCTCCCTGGGAGCGCACCGCATCGCGATCCTCCGGACACAGCAGAACACTGATCGCTGTACGGGACCTCTGTGTGATCACATGAATAGTAGTAAGCAAGATGTCCCACTACTAGTGAAATCTGTGAATGATCACAGAGGTCACATGGTACAGGGCTATTCATAACAGCCTTGTACCATGTGACAAGCTGTGACCAATCACAGCTCTCGCAGTATTTCTGAATGGCTGCAGGAATGCAGCCAGAGAGGAGAAATTATTGCTTTTACAGCCTTTATGGGTGTAAAAGCAATCCGTGTTTAAAAAAAAAAAAAAAAAATCTTCATCACCCCCCCAAAAGTAGTACAGAGTCAGTTTGGTGACTCTGTACTGCTAGGGTGACAGTATGTTAAAAAAAAAAAATAAAAATGTAAAACATTTTTTTAAAAATTTATAATTTTTGGTTATAAACTATTTTGGTTTTTTTTTTTTTTTTTTTTCTAAAAAGATCGCTGAATACATTTTTGGCCAAGATTTATGAAGAAAGATTATTTATTTGCAAATTTTTAAAACACTTTTTTTTTCAAAATGTTTGGACATTTTCATTTATATAGCAAATAAAAAAAAAAATCCCAGCGGTGAATAAATACCACCAAAATAAAGTTTTATCTTTCTCAAAATATGCTAAAAAATTCATATGGGTACAGTGTTGCATGACCGCGCAATTGTCATTCAAAGTGTGATATCACTGAAAGCTGAAAATTGGCCTGGGCAGGAAGGGGGTGAAAGTGTCCGGACAGGAAGGGGGTAAAAGTGTCCGGACTGGAAGTGGTTAATAAACCGTTTTTTGAAACTGTAATGCACAGGGGCGGACTGACAACTCATGGGGCCCCTGGGCAATAGGGGATCATGGGGCCCCTGTGTTCTTGCCCAAACTCAAAGAAGCCTATGAAAAGGTATCAGGGGCATTTCATGGGGCCCCCTACTGACCCCGGGCCCTTGTCTGCCCCTGGTAATGCATGATGTATGCTTACCTGTTTTGACCTATGTATCATTATCATTGGAAAAAACGGAAGTAATGTTGGTCGGGAAGAGCTGTCTCTATCCAATGCTATCTGACTGATTTAGTCCGCTAAGGTGCATGGTCTGTGAAGTCGTGGAATGGAAAGAAAATCACTCAATTCCCCCATGAGCACTCTCTATTGATGGGGGAATCCCTCCTTGTATTATATGGGGGGGGGGGGGGCGCCATCCCTGCCATAAGTGATTTTTGCTAGCGGCTATAGCCACTGACAATAATACCATGAAAAATCCGACAGGCTGGTTGTACCCATGTCATACAACAACTGCATTGGGCACAATCATCCTGCCCATAGATGGTTAGAATCTCAGCTAGTTCCTGCTGAACTGGCTGAGATTCTCGCCGTCTATAGCTGGCTTTAGACTACTTTTGTTCAATCTACAGCTGGATTGCAGCAATCTACGCATGCATGGTTAGCATTACAGAGGTAAACTTTTTTACTACTTAGCAATATTCTCACTAATCAAGAACAGCTGGCCTATAAGTGTAGCTAAAATCGCATTGCACAATATCACTGCTGACCTGTATTCCGCCTATTTTACTGTATTAAAAATGACAAGTAGAACTATTCTCCAGCAACAGCAGCTTAACCAATATGTAAGCCTAGAAGTAGCTCATTGCAGTGATGACCTGTTAATCTTGAGTAACTGAGAAAACTGGTGTGACTGCTGCAAATAACATTCCTATTGATACATCTAGCTGTCCAATATGACGACAATATAGCCATTTGCTGAAGCAGAGGGTTTAACCACTTGAGCCCCAGAGGATTTACCCCCCTTAATGACCAGGCCTTTTTTTTTTTTCCTGTTTGGCGCTGCACTACAAATGATAATTGCGCGGTCATGCAATGCTGTACCCAAACAAAATTTACGTCCTTTTTTTCACACAAATAGAGATTTCTTCTGGTGGTATTTTATGACCTGTGCGCTTTTTTATTTTTTGCGCTATAAACAAAAAAAACCAAGAAAACTTTGGAAAAAAACAATATTTTCTACTTTCAGCTATAAAAAAATATATCGTAAACTCAAAGTTAGCCATAAATTTAAGCCAAAATGTATTCTGCTACATGTTTTTGGTAAAAAAAAATCCCGTGCATTAGCGGGCAAACTGGCGCTATCTAGGAGGGGCGCTAACACTATCGGAAGTCACCAGTGACACTAATACAGTGATCAGTAAAAATCTGTTCACTGTAATCAATGACACTGGTGACAGGGCAGTGATGGGGTTAACTGGGGGGGGGAGGGGGCGATCAAGGGGTTAAATGGGATTTCTGGTGCACTAGCGGGCAAACTGACGCTATCTCGACTGGAAGTCGCCAGCGACACTGATACAGTGATCAGTAAAAATTGGTTCACTGATCAGTGACACTGGTGACAGGGCAGTGAAGGGGTTAACTGGGGGGGGGGCGATCAAGGGGTTAAACGGGATTACTGGTGTACTGGCGGGCAATCTGGCACTATCTGGGAGGGGCGCTAACTCTATCGGAAGTCGCCAGCGACACTGATCAGTAAAAATCGCTTCACTGATCAGTGACACTGGTGGGGGGGGGGCGATCAGGGGGTTAAATGTGTCCTAGAGTGTTCTAACTGTAGTGTAGTGCTTGTGTACTCACTTTTTGGATGTCTTCTTCTCTGTCTGGAACGGAATGTGTCCAGGCAGAGAAGAATGACATCATATCCTGCCCTGTGTATTTGTCAACACAGGACAGGATAGGACAGGGACCGATCATGTGATTTCAGCCAGAAATCACTGGCTGAAATCTAATGATTGATCCCTCCTGGATCGAATCGGATCACCCGCGGGTCGGCGGGAGCGCGCGAGCGCGCCCCCTGCCGGCGAAAGTGTCGGGAGCGCGGAACCTGTTTTTAAACGTGGTTTTGCGCTCCACTGCCGCCCTGCACACGTATATACACAGTGGCAGGGCGGCAAGCGGTTAACATATTCATAGGTGAAAAAACATTGCTAGATGGTAATCCTACAGTAGCATTAATGGGGGTCAGTCAGCACTAGGCACGAATCCTGATATCTTTTTTATGTCAATTTCCTTCTAAATTACTGCATTTTTATCTAGTTCCAGACTTTGGGCATGTGTAGTACAAGGTCATCATGAATATACACATGCATGATGACCTTTGTGCTACACATGCCCAAAGTCTGGAACTAGTTAAAAATGTAGTAATTTAGAAGGAAATGGACATAAAAAGATATCAGGATTCATGCCTAGTGCACAAAGGTCATCATGCATGTGTAGCACATCCAGACCTTCTGCATCCCCCCCCCCCCCCAAGTACACAGCAATTCATAACTAATTAGTCAAAGCAGGATCACAGAGAAGGTCGTCAACTTCAGCTGTATAAAAAAAAAAAAAGCAATGACCGTGTTTATACAGTAAATAACACTTGTTCAGATGATACAGAAAGATACAATGTCACATATTGTTAATTAAGTGTTCCTGCATGGCGACCACTTCCTGTTATCTCACATATATATTCTTATTATTATAGACAAATTTACCCCCCTAACTCCTCCCACAGTTTTTACACTACATAGACCGTAATATACCGAAACGTGCGGATTGTTCCCGATTGGTGTGCTATTACTGTGTGGAACGTTTCGCCAAATGGTTCATGAAATATCGGCGTTTTTGTGATAAAATTGGTCCCATAGGAATGAATGGCGGAATGTTCAAAACTAGAGTGGGAGCTGACAAAAGCTAGAGTGTGAGCTGAAAAATCAGGACATGATTTCTAAACTGCCATCACTCCCTCATTTTCAAGCCCATCTACACAAATCTTATATCAAAACGTTCAGCTATCCGGAAGTGCGTGACACGTGACCACGACGCTTCTACGCATTACACCGCGCCCCTCGTAGCTTCATCAGGATCCGGTCCAGCACCATCTTAGTACACCAGAGAGTTCTCAGTACACCCATGTGAGGTGACACAAGTGATTTGTACTATTGCTGACATGTGAGTTTGTACTTGGCGGTTTTCTTCTCCTTTTTTTTTTTTTTTTTTTTTTTTTTTTTTATTAAACTTTACATACAGTGTTGCACTATGGAGGATCTCTGTTTTTCTGTTGTATGACTCCCAAACATCATGAGTACATATGAGTATATATATTGCTACCTGGCCATGGAGGAATAGTGGAAGGTGGAGGAGAGTTCACTGAAGGTTGTGGAGTCAATCCTTGCTTGGAGAGAGAGTGTAGGATCCTGGGTGATCCGAAAGGCTTTCTGGCCCCTGTGGGTCGCAGGGGGAAGGTGAGCAGGCACGCCTGCCATATAGGAGTATTACTCACTACCGGCACAGGATCATGCTGTTTATCATTGTTTGTGCTGTTGATACACAAGCTAGACACCGGATACTGTGGACATTTATATCACTGTGATAGATATATATATATATATCACCTATTTAAGGTGACACACATCCCTGCATAGGGAATAACTGTGTGTCACGGCAATGTTGGAATGATCACTTAGCTATATATATGTGTGTGTGTGTGTGTGTGTGTGTGTGTGTGTGTATATGTGTATGTGTGTGTATATATATATATATATATATATATATATATATATATATATATATATATATATATATATATATATATATATATATATATATATGTGTGTGTTTGAGTTATACTGCACTAATCACCTATAAATATCAAGTATAAGTTTGGTTGACTGTATATTGATATTAATATTGTGGAAGCAGAGTTGTACCTAACCAAAGGGTTATAATTATAACTATAGCGCTACATCACTATCATACTAGCACTTGTTAAATTGCCCCACCTGTTTGCATAACTTAGACCCATCTCCCTGCTCCCGTTTGCCTCCAAGCTTCTCGAGCGACTTGTCCACAACCGTATGAACTGCTACCTCACCGACAACAACCTTCTTGATCCCCGACAGTCTGGCTTCCACCCACAACATTCCACAGAAACTGCCCTACTAAAACTCACTAATGACCTACTAACTGCTAAAACCAATGGCCATTACTCCATACTCATACTCCTTGACCTTTCTGCTGCCTTTGACACAGTCGACCACCCACTCCTCCTCCGTAAACTCCACTCCATCGGCCTCCGTGACTCTGCTCTTTCCTGGTTCTCCTCTTACCTTTCTCAGCGCACTTTCAGTGTCACTTACAACTCCTCCTCCGCTCCACTTCCTCTTTCTGTTGGGGTACCCCAAGGTTCTGTCCTTTTTGCCCCTCCTTTTTCTCTCTCTATATCTCCTCCCTGGGCCAACTGATAACCTCCCATGGCTTTCAATACCACCTCTATGCTGATGACACCCAGATCTATCTCTCCACTCCCCAGCTCACCCCCTCAATCTCCTCACATATTACAAATCTACTAAGCGACATATCAGCATTGATGTCACATCACTACATTTAAACTCAATCTTTCAAAAACTGAGCTTGTAATATTTCCCCCCCCTCCCCGATCCCCCACTCATGACTTTACCATTAAGATCAACAGCACAACCATTGGTCCTTCCCCTCATGCCAGGGTGCTGGGCGTAATCCTAGACTCTGACCTCTCCGTTGGGCCCCACATCCACTCACTGGCTAAATCCTGCCGCCTCAACCTCCATAACATTTCCAAAATCCACCCCTTCCTGACCAATGACACCAAAAAACAACTCATCCACGCCTTGGTTATATCCCACCTCGATTACTGCAACTTCCTCCTCACTAGTCTACCGTTACACAGGCTATCCCCCCTTCAGTCTATTATGAATGCTGCTGCTAGACTCATACACCTCACCAACCGATCAACGACTGCTGCCCCTCTCTGCCAATCCCCTCACTCGGTGTCCTCCGCCCCTCTCTGCCAATCCCTCCACTGGCCTCCACTCGGTGTCCTCCGCTCCTCTCTGCCAATCCCTCCACTGGCCTCCACTCGGTGTCCTCCGCTCCTCTCTGCCAATCCCTCCACTGGCTTCCACTAACCAAACGTATAAAATTTAAAATACTGACCACAGCTTACAAAGCCATCCACAACACTGCCCCTAGCTACATCACCAACCTCATCCACAGATATCGCCCACTCCGCTCCTCCCATGATATCCTCCTCTCTAGCTCCCTCATCACCTCCTCCCACACTCGCCTCCAGGACTTCTCCAGAGCCTCTCCCATCCTCTGGAACTCCCTACCACAGCATGTCCGGTCAGCCCCCACCCTGTCTGCCTTAAGGCGATCTTTGAAAACTCACTTCTGCAGGGAAGCCTACCCCACCTCCACCTAAGAACTGTACTTGAATCACCTCCACCAGATCATCCCCCGCAGTTATCACCTTTTTGTATCGCCTCCCCCTTCCTTTAGATTGTAAGCTCCGAGCCGGGCCCTCCTATTCCTTCTGTACTGAAATGTATTGTAATTGTACCGCCCCCTTATATTGTAAAGCACTGAGCAAACTGTTGGCGCCATATAAATCCTGTATAATAATAAAGTAATGCAGCGTGGTATGGTCAAGAAGGGAAGTAAATTTTCCGGAGGGCAAGTGGTTACAAAAATAAATATCTCGCTCCTGCCAGCTCTAAGGCTGAGAACTGAGTGATCAAACACTGCTTATCTCTCAGTTCTCCCTGCTGTCACTGCTGTCTGCTCTGGTCCCCCTTCCCCAGCAGCACTCAGTGGAGCGCTGGGCTGTGGGGGTGGGAACTGCTGGCTCAGCCTTTCAGTGGCTTGCTGAGAGGCTGAGCCTGGTGCCGGTCCAGACTCCTAGGTGGATCCTGACCATATGGTCGTGATCTTTCTTCAGCCTGGACTGGCTGAATGATGCCAGCCGAAACCGAACTTTAACCCGCTGTCAGCTAACAGCTCACAGGAGTGCAGAGCAAACTGCACTCCTGTGATCCACAGGAGAAGATCAGCCCATTCCCAATCCAGTGATGTGCACAAGAGCCGAGGCTCTCCTGGCTCTGTCCCTCCTCCACTGGGCAGATTGATAGCAGCAGGAGCCTGCGTTGCTGAGAGTTTTCTTACCCCCTTTAGTGCTCCCACACCTCCTCTTTCTTTTAATTTAATGTTGGATTTACCTATCCATGTCTAAGGCCCCTTTCACACAGGCGGTTGGATTTCAGCTTTTTAGCTGCGTTTTAAAGGAAGTCATTTACGCAGCTAAATTCAGACAATGCATCCCTATGGCTCCATTCACACAATGCAATTAGCAATGCTTTTATAACATGCAGTTTTATGCTTTTAGGAAAAATAAAGCTGACAGCATCCAGGAGCGATGTGCCGCAGCTATCTGTACATAAACGCAGATAATCGCAGTACAAAAAAAATAGGTAAACAGTTGCATTAGAAAAGGCAAAGATTTTGTAAGATGTAATTAATTTATAAAAAAAAAAAAATGGCAAGCATTTACTACCGCAGCTAAACGCAGCTGCATGCAAACGCATGTAATCGCAGATAAACGCAATGTACAAAAGTGAGTGTTCTCTGTGCCAGGAGTGTTGGATTTTCAAAATAAAAAAAAAATGCATTCAGAAGTGGCAGAACAACCCCCCGTGTGAAAGAAGCCTAAAGGTAGTCATATGTAGCAGGAATAAAAATAAAAAGCAAAAGCAAATAGTACTTCTGCGTTTAGAGGAACTCATTAATTTAAAGTTGGATTTACCTATCCATGTCTCAGGCCCCTTTCACACAGGTGGTTGGATTTCAGCTTTTTAGCTGCATTTAGAGGAACTCCTTTACCGCAGCTAAATGCAGACAATGCATCCCTATGGCTCCATTCACACAATGGAATTAGCAATGCTTTCATAACATGCGGTTTTATGTGTTTAGGAAAAATAAAGTTGACAGCATCCAGGAGCAGGGGCGGACTGACAACTCATGGGGCCCCCGGGCAATAGGGGATCATGGGGCCCCTGTGTCCTTGCCCAAACTCAAAAAAGCCTATGAAAAAGGTACCAGGGGCATCTCATGGGGCCCCCTACAGACCCCGGGCCCTTGGGCAGTGCCCGAGTTTCCAAAACGTCAATCCGCCCCTGTCCAGGAGTGATGTACCGCAGCTATCTGTACATATTTATTTATTTCAGGTACTTAAATAGTACCATCAATTTTACGCAGCGCTTTACACATATATATTGTACATTCACATCAGTCCCTAACCCTCAAGGGGCGTACAATCTAAGGTTCCTAACTCACATCCATATACTAGGGCCAATTTTGACAGGATCCAATCAACCTACCAGCATATCTATGGAGTGTGGGAGAAACCGGAGGAAACCCACGCAGGCACAGGGAGAACATGCAAACTCCAGGCAGGTGGTGCCTTGGTTGGGATTCGAACCAACAACCCTAGTACTGCCAGGCGGAAGTGCTAACCATTTAGCCTCTGTGCTGCCCACATATATGCAAATAATCGCAGTACAAAGAAAAAATAGCTAAACAGTTGCATTAGAAAAGGCAAATATTTTGTAAGGTGTAATTAACAAAAAAAAGGCAAGGATTTACTACCGCAAGCTAAACGCAGCCGCATGTAATTGCAGATAAACGCAATGTACAAAAGTGATCTCTGTGGCAGGAGTGTTGGATTTCCAAAATTTAAAAAAAACATACATTTAAAAGCGGCAGAATAACTGCCCATGTGAAAGAAGCCTAAAGGTAGTCATATGTAGCAGGAATAAAATGAATAAGTAATGCAAATAGCACTTCTGTAGTCAAAACTTTTCTTTTGGTAAATACAGGCATAGGTGCTAACTGAACTCTGTTGATGACCTGGCCTCTATATGAGATGCTGATTCTTATCACTTTCCCTATTTGTCAAAAGCGCTAAATCAGCATCCACATTTCTGTCCAAATCTGAGCAGTTCCTGCCAAGCCTGCTTGCTAAGAACTACAAAAAGGCAACCTTCTCATTAACCAATTCAATACCGGGCAATTTTCCCCCTTCCTGCCCAGGCCAGTTTTCAGGTTTCAGCGCTCTCACACTTTGACAATTGCGCGGTCATACAACATTGTACCCAAACTAAAATTTTATCATTTTCTTCACACAACTAGAGCTTTCTTTTGGTGGTGTTTAATCACCGCTGGGGTTTTTATTTTTTGCTAAATTAACAAAAAAAAAACTAATTTTGAAAAAAAAAACACGTTTTTCTTTGTTTCGGTTTACAAATAATTGTTCTTCATAAATTTAGGCCGAGATGTATTCTGCTACATGTCTTTGGTGAAAATAACCCAAATTAGGATGCATTGTTTAGTTTGTAGGAAAGTTATAGAGTTCACAAACTATGGTATAGATCTGAAATTGATCAATCCTGAAGTACTGACAGCCAATCTAATTTCTTGAGGTCCAAGAATGTCAGGACGGTACAGATATCCCCCAAATGTCAGGACGGTACAGATATCCCCCAAATGTCAGGACGGTATAGATATCCCCCAAATGACCCCTTTTTGCAGAGTAGACAGTCCGACGTACTTCATAAGAGGCATGGCGAGTTTTTTTTGAAGCTGTATTTTTTTTTGGTCATAATTTTTCGGAAAATGA